TATCAAAATCCAAGATGGCTGCCTGTCGGCCATGTTGTTTATCCGATCAGTCTCAAAAGTTGCCCTGCACAGCTTAGGACCAAGGGGAACCTGCATATAAAATTTGAGAAAGATCCCTCTGGTACTTCTTGAGAAATACAGATAACAAGAATTGTTTACGGACGGACGACAGACGGCAGACGGCGGACGACGGACGACGGACAACGGACAACGGACGGACGAGGGACCACGGACGCAGGGTGATTTGAATAGCCCACCATCAGATGATGGTGGGCTTAAAACTGGTCATACATATTTTTATTTCCTAAGCCTTGAATATAATATAATAATAATTTTTTTCAGAAACAAAACTATTTGTTTGATTTTTTATAAGACCTAAAACCCTATGCATGCCTGTAGAAGTATTCAATAGAAAATGTTACACTGGTCCATCAGGCACTTGGACCAACACAATTATTTGTCCTGACCTAATCTACTGGCCCCAGTCCATCAGACCTAGCGTTTTTCTTTCACTCTGATTATTTTTATCTTATATTAAAATCAATGGAAGATAAAAACAGAGCAAGGAAATGCTATTAAAACATCCAGAGTTTCCCATGACATGTCCTGTGTTACACAGATCAACTGTACTCACCTTTTCCTCCATATTCCACTTCTCCTGCTGTAGTTCAGCTAGCCTGGACACCAGGTCATTGTGCTCATGTTCAAAATCCCCTAGTGGGCTCTGTAGTCGGTCTGGGGACTAGAACAGAGAGATGAGAGTTTAAACACCTTCCTTACAAACTAATAACATTAATGGTTTTAACCATAACAAAAGGCACAGTGGGTCTGTATCACTCGCCTGGATACTCTAGCATTCATGGCAAAGTTTTCTCATAATACTGCAAGTATTTCCAAACATTGGCTCTATCTACCCTAACCTTACTGGTTATTGGATCCCACATGCATTACTCTGTCCCCATTGGTGTGTGTTTGAGTTGGGGAGGGGAAACACCAATGGCTTATACAATATTGCATCCTATTGGGTCAAGGATACTCTTTATTAAATTCGGTTTAGATCCTCTTTCTATATGGAATGAAAAGAATTGCAAGATTTAAATTCATTCACCCAATTGGCCCTGTCCTTCTGCCCCAGTTACATAAAATTGAGTCCCTAGCTGTTGCTCAAGGATTCCTCTAATCCAAATTTAGTTAAGATCCCTTCATTCTTATAGAAGGATATTTTTTTCAAAATTCTATCATTTCCCCTTTTTGGGCATACCCTCCATTTCTACAAAAATAGTCAAAATCCATCCATTTGTACAGAATGAAAAGGAATTTGAACATTTACCTTAATATCCCCTACTGGGCTCCACCCCTCCGTCCCCAGAGAGCCACACCCTCCATTTAAACAAAAATGGGTTCCCTTTACCCAAGTTACGGTAACCTACACAAAATTTGGTTGAAATCCCTCTATTCTTATGGAAGGAGAAGGATTTTAAAGATTTACCTCAAATTCCTCTATTGGTCCCCGCCCCTCTGCCCCCACTTCTTTTATACAAAAAGAGTCCCCTTTGCCCAAGGATGCTCTACACAAAATTTGGTTTCAATCCCTCCAATCGTAATAAAGGAGAAGATTTTGAATATTTGTTACTATGGTCCCCCTATTGAGCCCAAACCCTCTCCCCTCAGATGGACTACACTCTTTGATTATATAAAATTGAGTCTCCCTTAAATGACCTTAGCTGTTAATAGGACATTAAACAAAATTAAACCAAACCAAACCAAGCCTAAGGATGCTATACACAAAATTTGGTTAAAATCCCTCCAATTGTACTGAAGATGAAAGATTTTAAGATTTACCTCTATTTCCCCTACCGGGCCCCAACCCCTCTGTCCCCAGGGAGGCCACACCTTCCAGTTATACAAAACTGAGTCCCCCTTGCCCAAGGATGCTCCAGGCTGAATTCAGTCAAAAACCACTGAGCCATTCAGGACTAGTAGTGTTTTAAAGGGAAAGTTGACAGACATCGTGTCACGGCATATGCTCAACTTAAATGAACAAACGCTACTATAGCCCCATGCTTTGTGTTAGAACTGTCTCATCACTATCAGTTGCCTTTCTCATGTCATTGATGGTTGTTATGCCAACTAATACATATTCCAGATAGCCGCTTTTTATACTTATCCAGTAAGTATAACAACAGAAAAGGTGTCTTACCTGAGGTCCACTTGTATTACTTAAGTCTTTAGGGAGGCTGGCTCCCACGCTCCAGGAAGACACAGAACTGAAAAGGTAAAGCTTTTATGACAGGCGTGAACTAATATTTAAACTTCAAACATTGATACAACCACATCACAACTTCTGAAAATCTAAAAAACAAACAATATAGGGTCGACTTTCATCATTACATCACCGACAAGGTAACCAAACCTGTTCACTCCCCTACATTCTAAGGTAAGGACCAGAAATTGAGCTCGTAACCTGTTCACTCCCCTACATTATAAGGTAAGGACCAGAAATTGAGCTCGTAACCTGTTCACTACCCAACATTCTAAGGTAAGGACCAGAAATTGAGCTCGTAACCTGTTTGTATTACATTGGGTTCTTTGAATCATAGGTTGACCTATAGCTACTTGATGCAGAAATGCATCATTATATATCTTGCAATAATTGCTACTAGAATTAACCATTACATGGTTTCCTAGGAGCATTGGTGATCATTACTAGAAAAGGTCCTATCACAAATAGGCCAGTCGCAAATTTACACAGGCAAACAATTGTTGCAAGCTTGTTTATTCTGGCGTAATAATAGTTGAAGGGTTATATGCTGACAGGGTGTTAATCTCAGATAGAAGTGGTAATTGGGTTTATTGTTTTACAACCATGCATATGATGAGAGGCCTAAACTTGTGAGGTTTATGGATTGTGATGTAAAACATGTCCAATAATAGTTTTGATTTATCATTGGATTGCTTAATAATTCCACCATATGTGGTTTGTTTGCCTGAAATTATGTCATTATTGACTGCAATATTAATAAAATTCACACCATCAGAGTGTATAAATAACACAGTTTAACTCAACTTGATATAAAAGAGAACAGACCGGCAACCTAGTCATGCACGATACATTACTGTATTTATCCAGCAATAAGCCCATGTCTAGTAATACCCATAGATCAGTAAAATTCCACCAAATAATTAATAATAAATATTTGAGGTTCTTATACTACTTTATCACAACCCAGTTCCTAGGTCGTCTCAAAGTGGTTCCCAAATTATTATCCGTGGTTATAGGACCTTTGCAATCAGCCAATATCTTTCTCAACTCCCTGAGCATCCAGCCGGTGCTGCCATTTTGGCAATCACATGTACGCACAGCTAGCATTTAACAATTCTAGCCCTGCCCAACCACGTACTCATTTACAGCCAAGTAGACTGGAACAAGCGGAGTAAAGTATCTTGCTCAAAGATACAACACAGTGCCGTGCCGTCGACCCGAACCCGCAACCTTCTGTCCGGTACTTGGCGTCCTACCACTATACTACTAATATTAATGTTATCTATAATTGTCCTGTAATAAGCCCACCCCCTACTTTAAGCCAGCGATTATATGCTGGCACCCTGAACTTATCGAAAGATAATTGGTGATAATTATTGAATTATAAAATGTGACATCATTGATTTAATACACAAAAAACTGGATTTTTGGTGCTGCAACCTGCATTTTATTGATACATTACTCATGTAATGGAGTTTTTTTCTGACAATTTGACAGGTCTGTATGAGAGCAAACTCGGCTGTAAAGGGAGTTACAATATCACGATGTTATTTATTTTTAGTAGTTACTTGGATCAGTAAAAATGATGCAGTGTGTGTGTGTGTTACCTACCTCCTGTCTTCCCTGAGTGAAGTGTCGCCATCAAACGAGCCAAACATATCCTCCATGGCTTTACAACATAAAATAAACATTCTATATAAAAGAGGCCCAGGGAAAGGCTCTGTGTTGCTCCTCAGGGTTCTTTTGTTTTCAGAACTACACTGGAGGTTGAAATGTTTCCATTAACTTGAGATCATTGGTAGCAATCTCACACTTGCTGTTTATTAACTATTTTCAATGGAAATTTTTATTTTGATGAAAATATTTATTTTTATTTCAGCAAATGATGCCATAAAATTAAAATTTATTTGAAAAGTTACATATCAAAAAAAAAAGCGGTAATGTCACTAAAAGGTGAAAGCTTCAATGTTCTAAAAATTGCCAAATCAGGAAATAGACAGATTGTAAGGATAAAAAAAACACCTCTAAAATGATGGTTTGAATGTTATTAAAACAAAATTTGAGCAAGACAGGTTTGGAAATAAGGTTTTAATAAGTAACACTCACTTTTTCCCTGCTGACTTTCTGACAAGGTTTCTTGCAGTTTATCTTGTAACTTCTCGGCACGTTTTCTTTCTGAGTGGAGTTGCCTCTTCAGATCTTTGAGCTGGCAAGGAAATCAACATTAGGTATTAAAGATGGTGGCAGAAAGGAAGAGAGCTTGGTTTTGTGGCCAACTCAGTCTAGATTGCAGTTCATTTGTTTTTTAAATCAATGAAATAGAAAAGGTGCATTAACTAAAAACAAATTTTACAAATATGGTATAAAACAATCTCACGATTTGATTTTCACATTTCAAGAATGACCACATACAGTATACAGGATGGACACAGACCTGCAATATAGCTGGATGAAGACTACAGAAACAACACTAAAATCATATGGAAACTATTTCTAACTCATAAATGAATAAAACACAGGTAAAATAGCATGTTTTATCTATAGCAGTAACAGATTATCATGCATTAATTATTGTCCTTAAGATTGACCCCTGGACAACACCCTCAGACCAACAGTGATACATCGAACCTTTTGGTAAATTGTAATAATCCTTTCTCAACCCTAGTCCACTTACCATCGTTAATCCTTTTTTCTCATGTATTTTCCTGTCATCAACACTATCTGCGATTTCCTGCAAAAAAAGCAACAGTTGATGACATCACATCTGAAAACTCAAAACTATAAATGTAGACTATTTTCAAATTCTGATCAATTAAAATATAAGAATCATAATAAATGTGCGAATATATTGACAAAATATTTGCTCAAAATTTTAATTGATTTATGATCTCGCTGTTGAACTAATTATAAGTATATGGTATTTAGATTTGTAGGCAACCAGTGTGAATAACTGTCAAAAGTTCAATGTCCTACTGAAATTGTCGATTCATCTCTCAAAGAAAATATTGAAAACCAAAAATACATTATCACGACAACAATTACTGTGTTTCCATTGCTCAGAAATCAATTTAATAGCCTTTTTTGTTTTAAGGTAATGACAGCTTTAATACTGACTTGTTTTAATTGGTTGATTTCCTTCTCATACGTGTTGAGTTCAGCTTTAAGAGATTCCTCTTTATCACAGCTCAGCTAAAAACAAACAGGATAATTAGACACACACCATCTACTACTACCCAAATGCTGATCTACTGGTGACAATACTTCTTCCGTTTATACCACTTTCTTTTCTTTGTATGACATTTAATCAAATCCTTTAATAACAACTACCTTGAACTTCTGAACTACAGACATGTAAACATAGACTTTAATATACTTAACATGTGTAGGCAGACTCTATCAGGGCTATTCCAAAGATACATGTATTTATAGCTATCTCTTCTCAGAACTCAAGGCTGCCACAATTTACATAAGGAAAATGACCAGGACTGGAAAACATGTTTTTTTAAGTTTAGTATTTGACAAATCCGAGTTTAACATCCATAAACATTTTCTGTATAAATAATATTGACTCTATCTGTGACTTCAACATATGTATGCAATAATCAGTAAAATTTATTGAAAGTTTCATACTGTTTTTATTCATTTATAACTAGATATGATTATTTTAACTCTGAGATCCAAAATGGCATTCAACTTAGATTTAATTTTGACAACTATACAAAATTAAACACATTCCTCAGGTTTTTTTTACAATACCAACTCTGTTTCCATCTTATAAATGGTGGTAAATATGAACTTCTGTGATACGCTATTGACTCATAACTGTTAAACCACTAAACGCCAAAACAAACACTAAGTGTACTACAAGTTAAACTTTAGTTTTTATTTTTTCTTACATAAATGTTGCATAAAACCAAGTTAGTCTCACCTTGTAAGTTTCCTTGTATTTCTCCTTAAGGCTATCCAGCTGTTCCTGGTTCTCCTCTCGGAGATGTGTCAGGACAGATGCATGTTCAGCCTCCACATGACTTAATGTAGCAGTATTCTCCTCCTCCTTTTCCTTCAAAGATTGCTGTAACATCCATTAACATAAAAACTCAAATTTTAGAAGAGAGAATGAGTTTATGATGGTTTGGTTGTTTGTGCTTCATGTCCTATTGATAGCTCTGGTCATTTATAAGGACGAGACAAGTTTTGGTGGTGGGGGAAAACCTAAGTGCCAAGAAATAAACCATCGACCTGCTGTCAGTACCTGGCAACTGCCCCACGTAGGCCTTGAACATGTGACCCAGTGGTGGAGAGCTAATGATCGTAGATGGTCAGATGCCTTAACTTCTCAGCCACAGTGGCCCCTTATTAATTTTGTGTATTATGTGTATCGAAAATAGAATACTTGGATTTGGAGGATGGGACCCACCTCACTTTGCTGTAGGCGCCTTTCTAGCCAGCCCTTGGCTTCCTCCACAGACTGATTCTGAGCCTTGAGCTCATCCACCTGCTGACGTAACTTCACACACTCTGCACTCTGTCCCTGAAGGAAAGAAAACACAGAAAACATGGATCTGGTGCTGTTTTATGTTTCCGTTGACAAAAGTATCATATAGAAGTTAGTGATATTTACCTGTTCTGTGACCAGCTTTGCCTGAAGTGCTGTGATCTCAGTATCGTGAGCCTCTTCCTGTTGTCTCAGCTTGTCCTGGTGGCTGGCATTATCTCTTTGGTATGTATTAGCCAGCTCATCCAGCATGCTCTTCCTCTTCTCTGCAATCTGTTCAAAAACATCAATACCATTGTTATTTTTTTATGAACTTTGGATCCATTACATTAATATTCCAGTTATGGATTTTTCTAGATTTTTTTGATTTTTTACCATAAATACCAAGATGTATGTTTGACCCAAATGTATCATTATTTTACTTGACCAGATATCCTGGTAACAATACAATTATGGGTCCCTGGTAACTTGGTGTCTGACCTCAATATATTACCATATCTAAAAATAGACTGACCTTGTTGGCCTCCTGCCACTCCTGGATACGAGTGTCCCGGTCCTTCTGTACCGCGTATAACTGCTCCAGTGTCTCCTGACAGGCCTGTTTACTGGCCTATAACAAATAGAATTTATACATTAAAGCATTCTGTCACTCACAGACTGTTTTTATACAGCAATAAGGCTTCCATTAAGAGATTTCCTAACATCCCTCTGTAAAAGACCTACAGCTGTATTATGAGTTTATCTAACAACCCACTATAACTGACATCCAGTTGTACAGTGAGTTTATCTGACAACCCACTATAACTGACATCCAGTTGTACAGTAAGATTATCTGACAACCCACTATAACTGACATCCAGTTGTACAGTAAGATTATCTGACAACCCACTATAACTGACATCCAGTTGTACAGTGAGATCATCTCAAAAACACTTTATAACAGACTTTTAAATAAACTGTTAGTGTTAAGACATTTCCAAATAACTTAAACCCAGTTGAAGCAAACAATTCCAATAAACAGATCTCCAGCTGTACTAAGAGGTCGTTCTAAACACTCCCTACAACTGGCATCTAATTTTATGATGAGGTTGTCCTAACAACACCTGAAACTGATCTCTGATTAAACCATAACATCTGTTTTGACTGACCTCTAATTGAACTGTAAGGTCATCTCCCGACTGTTGTAAGGATGCCACCTGAGCTAGCAGTCCCTCAATCTGTTGTCGGTGCTTGGTTGTCTCCTCTTGTAGCTGTTGGTTACCTACTATGCTGGCAGCATCAACCTAAACATTCAAATGTAATGCATCAACAACAAAACAAGAGTCGAATCAAAACTGTAAAATTATTAACAGAACTCAAAATCGATAAAACTAGGGCAAAATTGACAGGGGAAGATTTACATGGAGATTCTTGAAAAAGAAGAAGACCAGGCTTTCCAGAAGGGTAAGTGTCTTTGCCTTGATCAATGACACTTGCCATGTAAATCTAGGTCAAATCCAAGTAATGCCATGTCTTAAAAATAAGAAGCAAGAACTGGGTTACTGACAACAAGAACTGGGTTACTGACAACAAGAACTGGGTTACTGACAACAAGAACTGGGTTACTGATAATGAAACAGAAAGGCTTAGTTATAAGCATAATCAAAAACAAACCTTCATATCACACAAAATAACAAGAGGCCCAGAGGACCTGTATTGCTCACCTGGATATTTAAGCAATCATGGGGAAATATTCTCTTTAAAAGTACTTTTGCAAGTACAGTATTTCCATATATTGAGTCTCCTTCCACTAAGAATGTTCCAGTCTATATGAAATTTTATACTTCTCTAACCAAGCATGCTTTTGGTCAAATATCCTCACCAAGGGCCTCCTGGTATTGCGGAAGTTGTTAAAATATATTTACACATTTGACCCCTGTGACCTTGAAAGTAGGTCAGGGTCATTTTAATAAGGAAACCCTATAGCACTCCATCCCAGGTACCTACTGGCCAAATAGCATGACCCTGGGCCTTATGGACCTTGAATAGAAGATGGTAAAACTTTTAACCCATGTCGACCATTAACCCTGACTAGCACTTAAAGTTAACCTTTGACCTCATTACTGAAATATAGAAAAAGATTCCCATTGCTGGTCTACATAACATACCCAAGTATCATGACACTAGTCCTAATGGGTCATAGGATATTGTTGTTTGAAATTTGTAGCATATTTGACCACTGTGACCTTGAAAGTAGGTCAAGTTCATTTTAATGAGGAAACTTTATAGCGCTCCATCCCAGGTACCTACTGGCCACATAGCATGACCCTGGGCCTTATGGAACTTGAGAAGAAGATTGTTAAAGCTTTTAACCCATGTTGACCTTTGACCCTTGCCTAGCACTTAAAGTTGACCCCATGACTGTCATTAAGAAAAAGATTCCCATTGCTGGTCTACATAACATAACATAAGTTTGTAGCATATTTGACCACTGTGACCTTGAAAGTTGGTCAAGTTCATTTTAATGAGGAAACTTTATAGCACTCCATCCCAGCTACCTACTGGCCAAATATCATGACCCTGGGTCCTCTAGTTCTTCAGAAGAAGTCATTCAAAAGAAAAAGTTGACTGACAGATGACGGACGACGCAGTACGGCATAAGCTCACATGGCCCTTCGGGCCAGATGAGCTACAAACATATTTCCAAATAAGATCATGATGTGGTGACTATAAAACTTGGCCATAATCTTCATCAACCTGTAAACAATCATATAATACGTGAACCTACTGTACATAATCTTCATCAACCTGTAAACAATCATAACCTACTGTACATAATCTTTATCAACCTGTAAACAATCATAACCTACTGTACATATTCACACATGGTGCATGACACGTTGCTCTGTCACTTTTTAACTTTTCTTCTTTAGACTTTACTACAGAAATAATAATAAAATAATTCAACATTCCTATATATCGCTTTATCACAACCTACGTCGAAGGTCGCCTCAAAGCGGTTCACAAATTATTATCTGTGGTTATAGGGCCTTTGCAACCAGCCAATAACTTTCTCAACTCCTGGGGAGTAACAGTCGGTGCTGCCATTTAGGCGCTTACAGCTAGCATTCAACAATTCCAGCACTGCCCAACCACGTACTCATGCCCAACCACGTACTCATTTATAGCTGAGTAGACTGGAAAAAGCAGAGTAAAGTATCTTGTTCATACAACCCAGTGCCTTGACATGACTCGAACCTGCAACCCTTCAGTCACGAGCCATGTATCCTACCACTAATACTACCATGCCTCACTGACACCTTAAAACATATTCACAATCATTGTTTATTTGTGCATTTAAATCTTTGCTCCCCAAGGGGAAACGGATGGCTCAGCGGTCCTCAAATTGACAATTTTAATATAGCATCTGATGATCTTTCCATCCATGCACTGAAATTGACTGTATTACCTCCGGGTCTGGAGAAGGATTCCTATAGAAAATTGTCAAAATATACACAAAAGTGTTATTTCCCAATATAAACTATAGTAAACTTTACCCCTTCCCCAAGGGAGAACGGATGTTCTGGGGTCCTGAAATTGACAATTTTAATAAAGCCCCTAATGATCTTTCCATCTATGCATAGAAAATGACTACAGTAGTACCTCTGAGTTTGAAGAAGAAGATTTTTGAAATATTGGTTAATTTTCCCTTTGGGGCCCAGCCCTGGCCTAGGAGTTGGGGTAGGAATCTTAATTTTACAATTTTATAGCCTCATCTACCAAGGTTGATTCTAACCAAGTTTGAACAAATTCCATCCACTGGTTCTTGACATCAATTAACGCATGACACACAATGACGGACGGAAAGTGATCAGAATATGTCACTTGAGCAAAGCTCAGGTGACCTAACAAGCATAAAATCATTTGCTCTCAAAGTTCTGTGATATAGAGTGCTAACCTGCTGTTGTAGAGAGGCCATTCTCCTCTGAAGACCTGCGATGGTGTTATGTGATGATTTCTCTTTCTCATCTAATGCCTGAAACATAGCAATGATTAGTTCAAAATCAGTTAGCATTGTGCTCTCTACTGAAAATCTCTTATCCATGGATAACATTTAAATAACATCAGAGGAACGCACACTTAGCTTCCCTTGAACAGAACAAATTGATGACATGTGTCGAGTGTTTACCTGTTTGAGTTTTTCGGCGTCCTGTTGGTGCCGTGACACCTGGTCTGTGTAATATTTTTGGTCCCTGTCTCGAGCACTCTGAAACTCTTCTGTCTTGTTACTGTGAGTAATTTAATGTAAAATGATCTTTAGAAAATACTCATCCATATTTCATCATATTCCTACAATTCATTAGGAAATATTTGTAAAACATGCTATCTTATCTTTACAGCACCTAACATGAAAGGGATGACAGTCATAATATCTTGCTTTCACTTAATTTCAGTAAATTATTTGCATGGCATTGCTTAAACTGAGACCATTAACACTATTGTCAAAATTTGAGCAATTGGCACGAATGATAAAATGAAGTACATACTGTACAGTGCTTTTACATCAAAAGACCAAACTTTCAGGGTTACATTGTCAGTATGAATTTGCTAGGTTTTAACTTCAAATAACATAAATGTAAGTCAATATTCCTATATATATATAATATACATATTTAAATAATGTCGGGTTTATGATGTAGCCTGTGAATGTATTGCCCAAGCTTTATATTTGCTCTTTATATACTTGTTAACAGGGCAAAAACATACAATGCGGTATAAAACTGTTATTTTACATGATGTCGGGTGTAATTTTCTGTGTATATTGGTATTTAGGGCAGGAACTACTCACATAAAAACATACAATACGGTATAAAACTGTTATTTTACATGATGTCGGGTGTAATTTTCTGTGTATATTGGTATTTAGGTTAGGAACTACTCACATAAAAACATATACAGTGTAGGAAATGGAAACAATAAAATTGTTAAAATGTTTTGCACTATTTTGACAACAGTGTTACCATAGCCTCTAAATATCCAGGTGTTTTTAGTGCTCTGTCAAAGTGTCCAGTTATAAATGAAAAAAATAAGGAAACAATCAAAATTAGATATTTGTTTTTAAATTCCTCACCTTAGTTCTCTAAACAGCTGTTCCTTTTCTACTTGTAGCTGATTGTAGCTGTGAACACACAAATTTCACATAAATCTGTTCTTTCCAAACAGGAATACATAATGATGTAGCTATAGGATTGCTAAGTAACTTGATTTTCACCAATATGAATTTTCTTCTGTATAAATCACATGCATCTTAATAAAATAATGTGAGCAGGGACTTACATTACCATACCCCCCCCCCCCCAAAAAAAAAAATATGTCATTTATGACCTTTGACCCTTTAACCTTGATTGACGATCACCGAAATTTTATTTTATCAAGTTTAGAACTCAATTATTTTTTGTCTCTGTATATAGGTACATGCTTGACAAGTATGTATTCATAGTGAATTAAAAAAGAAATTAACAACAACTCTTAAGAAGTTTGAACAGCTTAACAATCATGTACCATATGTGTTGTATCATGTCATGTAAAAAAAAAATGAAAATTATTCAAAAACAAAACAAACAAAAAAACAAATAATTTAGAACTCAATGTTACCATTCAATGATGTAAAAAAAACAACACTAAGTCTATGTTGGGGAGATATTCTAAACACAAGCTTTTTACTACAGACAAATGGACATACATACACATGGACACAAATGTAGTTAATCCCCCCTCAATTAGGTGAGGGGAGAATAGTGAACAACTGTAAACGGAGTTGAATATTTGCTAGCGGTAATTTGACATTCATGGTTGAAATATTTGTTTAACCTAACTCTATGACTGAATGAGAAGTCTTGGCATAAATATTTGAATCATCTGATACAGTACCATTCAAAATGTATGATTCCAATCTAAATATAGCACTGAGATGCTCTTACAAAGTAATTTTACTCGAAAACAATACATACCTCTCTTGTTTCTTCTTTAGTTTCTCAGATAGCTGTTGGAAATTGAAGTTTTAACAATTTAATTGAAATTGAAATTTCAAATTGTCATCAAAAATAATGAATGAAAAATGTCATACAAACTGACATAATAAGCTGTGTGTGCAAGATGTAGAAAATAGTGATGCTCAGTTTTAAAACAAACGGACTATGAGTTAGATGCATGCTTGTATACCTCGACTATTGACAAGGCAAGATTTGCCAGTCATAACAACAACAAAACATCAAAGAAACAAGACAGAATGGCCTCTAACATGAATAACAAATTCAATTAAACATTTCAGACATGAACCTACAAAACAGGCTACAATCTTCCATTGGGGAGCTAGTGATCACTGGCACAATCTGTTTTATCTTAACATGAAATATCCTCACAAAAACAATTAATCTTTAATTTACAGTATGATTAATTTGTAACAAAATGTTTATGGTAAGGTACCATGACAAATTAAACATTTTCCACATCAACACCCACCTTATCTAGTTCATCTTGCTTTGCAGATATTTTTTCTTTGAAATTTTTCTGAAAATATAATATATAATAAATACAAGAGGCCCAAGGGCCTTAGCGGTCACCTGAGTTATATCATAGGTACTGGTAGCTTTATTTTATTGTTGAGATGTGATGTGGAAATCAGCATGTAAACTAAGTGAAATACAATACTTGTCATGTCATCAATGGAGAAGAATTTGAAAATATTGGTAAATGTTCCCCTTGGGGCCCCGCCCTAGCCCCTGGGGATGGGGCAGGAATCCCAATTTTACAAAGTAATAACTCTCATTCACCCAAGATGATTCTGACTAAGTTTGAGTAATTTTCTGCTGAAAATGGATAGAATATATACCGAAAAGTGTTATTTCCCTATTCCATTTGGGGCCCCCCCCCCCCCC